ACAACAACAACAACATGAAGCCTTTATCCCACTACGTGGGGTCGGCTATATGAATCCTTTTTCTCCATTGTGTCCTATTAAAAGTCAAATTCTCGTTTAAATCTAATAAAGAAAGGTCATTCCTAATATTTTCTAACCAAGTCTTTTTAGGTCTACCCCTACCTTTCTTAACATAAGTCAAATCTAATACCTCTACTCTCCTAACCGGGTCATCGCAAGGCCGCCGTTTTATGTGACCAAACCATCTAAGGCGACTTTCTCTAATCTTATCTTCTACTGGAGTTACTCCAACCTTTTCACGTATATGCTCATTTCGTATCCTATCTTTAAGGGTAAAGCCACTCATCCACCTAAGCATCCTCATCTCTGCAACACTTAATTTTATTCTTCTCTTTTAATGACCAACAATATGTGTCATAATGCATTGCAGGTCTCCCCAGCATCTTATAGAATTTCCTTTTAAGTATGATGGGTACTTTTTTTATCACAAAATAGGCTTGATGCATTCCTCCACTTCAACCATCCAACTTGAATTATGTTGATAATATCCCTATATATTTCGCCATCACTCTTAATAATATATCCAAGATATCTAAAACGTGTACTCTTATTAATGACTTGATCGCTCAAAGTCACAATCCCCTCACTAGGTCTATTACTACTAAAATTGCACTCCATATATTCCGTTTTAGATCTACTCAAGCGAAAACTTTTAGACTCTAAGGTTGACCTCCATAATTCAAGTTTACCTTCAACTCCCTCTCTAGTCTTATCAACAAGAAGAATATCATCAGCAAAAAACATACACCAAGGTACATCCTCTTGCAAATGTCTAGTGAGAGCATCCATGACTAAAGCAAAAAGATACGGGCTTAAGGCTGATCCTTGATGTAACCCAACCGAAATAGAGAAATACTTGGTCAAACCACCTTGTGTTTGAACACAAGTAATCGCTCCTGCATACATATCTTTAATGATTTGAATATAAGCATTATTAACTCCTTTCTTTTCAAGAACTCTCCATAGCACTTCTCTTGGAACTTTATCATATGCTTTTTCTAAATCAATAAATATCATATGTAGATCCTCCTTATTTTCTCTATATTTCTCCATCAAACCTCTTAATAAATGTATGGCTTCCATAGTCGACCTAGTGACCTACCGGGCATGTCTCATAGTCAATGTATGATCTATTTCTAAACCCTCCTAAATTTTTTGCAGTAATTGTTTTAATGGAACTAGCCATCTTTTTTTTTTTCTTGATATTCCAATAACAGGGATTGAAAATATCAATTCTAGATCCACTGATAACTCTACTTAAGACCTTTTCTTTAAAATTTTCTATAGTACATTAAATCATCATTTATTTCAAAGATGTCACCCTTTAGAATTATGCCATTTTAATTTTATAAATAGCACAAAAGCACAATTTGAAAAAAATAAAAATGACAATGCATTGACTATATATTCTTATAAATATTCTAAAAAGACTATATTGTATAAGATGGAATGTTAATTATAAGTTTTCCTCAAAACTTATCAGCAAGCACAACCACATCTTAGGATTACAAGAAGAATCCGTATCAATATAGCACTTATCTTGAAATGGACATTAAAACAATGTCCTTTTTAATAATTCAAAGATATTGCAAACGCCAAATGTAAATAAATTAATGTAAGTTTTCCTTTTTATTAAGATTCAATTATAGCAGTTTACTCGCCGTTTACATCTCGGTTGACTTCCTGAATAGCATAGATAATCAGCTGCCCATCAATACGTAATTGAATCCAGTTCTTTCTTCCATAACATCAACAGCTTCCATATATGCCGAAAACCCCCACCACCACCTGAACCGATCTCCTCTCCAATCCAAAAAACATTAAAAAAACATCCCCGCCTCAGCAAATCAAAATCCGGACAGTCCAAAGAGAACTTTCCTGCCCTAATCCACCACACTCTACATGACATTCAATCTACACACCCTAAACAACAATCCGCACCAAAAAGAACAAGCACCTATATACAGAACCCAAATCCACAACCCGAAAAAGGTAACTTTCCAGCACTCCAAAACCACGCAAAAAAAACCCCCTCAAAATTCAGAAAAAATAACCCCCAAATAAAAACAAAGAAAAAGAGCTCACCGTGACAGGCCGACGAACCAGGCGAGTAAAACTCGACGCCATAACCTCCGATCTCCTCCGCACAAGCTAAACAAGATCGTCGGATCGGTTAAGAAAAACGTTAGTCGACACGAGATCGAAAATGAAGGAAATAAACTTACAGGTTTGGAGATCTGACGAACCCTAATAAAATAGCAGATTAAAATTCACCGCCGCGGCCCTGCGAGAAACTTCTCTGCTATATATGCCGGTCTCCGGGCTAAACATTTCCACCGTTCAAACCCAAGGCGGCTCCGGTACTGGAGAGTACGCTACTCCGCAGGAATAGATAGAATAAATAAAGACGACACGCGTCATGGGACATAGAAGTTGATGTCTACTGACGGTCGCGGAGAAACATTGAAAACAAACTTGTTCTTGGGGAATATGTTACACGGTGTTTTCATGGGGGTATTTTTGGAAGTAAAAAAATACTATAAGAACGTTTCACGTCTGTAACGAATAAAGCTAATTGTGGTAATGTGTCTTTTAACACATTTAGATAAATGACAAATAAATCAATACCTATAGGCTATAACGAATTAAAAAATAAATAAATAAATTTGACCTATTTTAATAAGGGTTGAACCGAATGACATAATAAATATTAATTTTATTTTTAAAAAAATAATGTCATCAAAAAGTTATATTGATCGGGCACGAATCTCGAGGCAAAAAATAAGTTGGAAACTTCAAGAATTAAATATGAGATCATCTAAACTTCGATTTAATTAAACTTATAGTCGAACTGATCGTCTCGGAAATACGAACTCAAAGACACCAAATTCAACTCGATTTGAGCCCAAATGTGTTTGAATCAAAGCCCCGAAGTACATTTGGAAGGTTCAATCCATAATTTGAGTTACCAAACGGTTTTGAAACATGACGTGCTTATAGTCTAATTGAGCGGCTCGACGAGATGAATCCAACGAGCCCAAGATCGCCAAATTCCGACATGATTAAGACCTTCACATATCTGATGAACAGTACACGATCAAGGGATTCAATATCGACCGTCCATCCAACCACTCCCCATTTACCCATGATCTCTCATATATTTACAGTCCATGCCACTCCAAAATATCTATAAATAGACCCCTTATTTCTCTTGAGAGGAGCCCCAAGGATGAAGAAGAAGAAAAGAGTAGGAAGGAAGAAACTCCTCAACCACCGTCGGAATTATGCCCGACTCAATGGGATGCCGGAGTTTTGTCCAATGCCCGAGTAACGCCAGAATTATGCCCGATGCCCGAGTAACACCGGAATTCCGTCCGACTTCCAAGTGACGTTGGAATTACTCCCAACTTCCAAGTGACGCTGGAATTCCGCTCGACTTCCACGGGACGCCAAAATTCTGCTAGACTTCCACGAAACGTTGGAGTTTCTCCCAACTTTCAAGTGACGTCGAAACTCCACCTGATCTCCAAGTGATTCCGGAATTCCGCATAACTTCCAAGTGACGTTGGAATTTCACCCGATTTCCAGTGACGCCGGAACTATGCCCGCTCTCTAAGTGACTCTAGAGTTTTGCCCGAATATCATCTAACGTCAGAGTTCTCTCTGGCCGCCGACTGAATTCAGAATTCTCGCTAGATTTCTACCTGACACCGAACTTATGCCCGTTGTCGAATTTTTGTCGGATAACTATCCAATATGGGATTTTTGTCTATTGCAGGACTTCTACCCGATGCAGTTCATCTGACCTCCGTCGTCAGACAACGGTCCTTCTGACCTCCTTTGCCCGTCGACTACGGTCCTTTCGACTTACGTTGCCCACCGATTACAGTCCTTCCGACCTTCTAGGGGTGTCAATATTTGACCCGACCCTGACCCGACCCGTTTGATAAACGGGTCGGGTTCGGGTTCTCAAATTCGACCAGTTAATCAAACGGGTCGGGTTCGGGTTAACCCGGCGGGTTGCCGGGTCAACCCGCAAACCCGTTTTATTTTAAAAAAATTTGAATTTTTCGCTGCCCGCTCTGCCGCTGCCCGCTCTGCCGCTGCCCGCCTGCCCTGCCCGGGTCGGGTTCGGGTTGACCCGTTTTATATACGGGTCGGGTCGGGGTCAACCCGAACCCGACGGGTTGACCCGAATTGACACCCCTACGACCTTCGTCGTACGCCGACTATGATTCTTCTGACTTACATCGCCCACCGACTACAGTCCTTCCGACCTCTGTCTCCCGTCGACTACTGTCATTCTGACTTACGTCGCCCACCAACTACAGTCCTTCTGACCTCCGTCGCCCGCCGGCTACGGTCTTTCTGACTTACGTCGCCCACCGACTACAGTCCGTCCGACCAAATATTCACGTCAACAGTGATTCTTTGTAGTCACATTATGTAATGTACTATGTAAGATGTACATCAAACTAAGGCCTTCCCCCAAGGAAAGGCCTCATTTGTAATCAACTGCAATAATAGTGGATTCATTAAAACTTGGCTAGGCCCTGTGGTTTTCCGCCTTTTAAGGGGTTTTCCACGTAAAAATATTGGTGTCTCATATAAATGCTGCACTCTCTCTCTCTCTTATATGATTGCATGCCGGATTTTTGTACAATGCTAAGACGTTAATTTTATATTTCTCTACCGCCGCGAATACTCCAGGATGCAATAATAATAACAACAAAAAATTAAACATAACATAAAATTATGAATAAAGTATACATAAATAATTATATGAAGCAATTTAAAACACCTTGTTGTTCCAAGTTCTCGCACGAGATGGTTCGGCCATCTCGCGGCTCTCAATTCCCATACAGGATGACCGGCTGTGAAGCAGTTGCAGTTATCCAAATATAAATAAATTAGTGCATGATGACACTTATATGTGGATATTCAGAGTGGAAGATATTCACGAAAAATAAAATTAATATACTAAATTTGATGATAATAACTTTTCAAATTAATTTTGGAAAAATAATTTGAGCAAAAGAAAAAAAAGAAAAAAAAGGAGAGTCTAGCATGTCATCTAACTTATGTATTTTGTTAATGGTTTTGTTGTTCATATGTATTCTCGCAAAAAAGGCAACCGAATCGGTTGGCCGGCCGGTTCACAGTTCTGCTGATTGAATCAGATGGTCCAATTCGATTTCTAAAACCATGATTTTTTTAAACGAGCAAATCTTTTTTTTTTTTTCAGTTTTTTATTTTTAAATCATTGTTTGATTTTTGTTTTTTAGAAATTTCTTAATAGATAATTATTTTGAGAATAAAATCTTATAGCTTGGTAGTTATAAAAAGGTTATTGGTTGACCTTTTAAAGCAATAGTCAAATGAATATGTGATAGCTGTCTGAATAAAATGACTAGAGTTTAAATTAAATACATTGTAGTTATCTTTTTAGGCCAATTGGCGAACCTTCACACACATGATGTTAAAATTTGGCCAAAATTTGAGAGAATTCTGAATATGCTGAAAATGAACTAAGGGACGAATTTATAATGCTTCAGAATTTTATATTGCATTTATTTTTCAACAAATCAAACAATTAAATTATGAAAATCGTTGCATTTTTATCATTTTACATAAACACACCCTAAATGTTCCCAAATGACAATAATTAGAGCTATAAATAAAAAAAATCACTCCACTTTTTAGTAGATTTTTCACTAGAAATTAATGTTGGGAAAATTTTCATTAATATCCCTCTAGAAATTTTACTAGCAAAATTTTCAACAAATAAATCAGCACACCATAAACAATTTATTTTCAACAAATTTTGGAGGTTTTTTTTGTAAGATATAAAAGTTCTTATGGGTTTTATTCATTGAGTTATATCCAAATTCCTTGAAAGATTTAGAGGGTTCTCTTTAATATAAAACTAAAACTAAATTCCTTCATATATTTATTATAGCTACCTCTTAAACTCTAAGATTTAGGGCTATTTAGGACTTCTTACTTGCTAAACATTATTCAGCATAGGGCATAATTTTCTACTATTTGAAAGTAGTATGTGAAAATCACAAATGAATGCATAATATATACTAAAATTGTTGGGAAAGGAGAGTGCCCTCAAAGTGGTGAAATTATTCTGTGCGAACACTGAACGCTGTTTGGAGACCAACCATAATGTACCACGTCGCCCCCTGCTCGGTACCCGGCTTGGTACCATGGCTCGGTACTGAACTCAGTACCACTGGCGTGGAGCAAGCCGAATACCGAGCAGGGGGCAACGTGACGCATTCTGGTTGGCTTCCTAATGATAAATTATATTCGACATCCGCACATAATAACCTCTCCTCAAAGTGGGAGCAAATACCATAAACCACAAATAATTTTAAAAGAGATTAAGAATCCCAAAAGATAAGGCCCAAATTTATATAATGCATATTAAAATTTCATTTGAGTCAGCTTTATTAAGCTCCTCTTCTCTCTTTGAAGTAATATATAATTTATAACTATTACTTGACATGATCAAGAGTTTTTTCTCTTATTACAATAAAAAATAGCAATAAACTGCAAAAATTTATTTATAAGCGACCAAAACACTTTTTTGCTTTTTTCTAGGGCAAGCAACGAGAAATTATTCTATGCAGAGACCGGATACAAAATGCCATCCGGAGATGAATCAGAATGCGCCATGTCAGTAGCACAGAGCCGACTGAGAAAGGAGTGATGTGGTGCATTCTGGTTGGTCTCCGAATGATGTTCGGAGTCCGCAAAGAATAATTAATCCTAGAGCAACACCCATTTACTCTCTCTTCCTCCCTCTCCTCTTCTTGTTGCTTTTTATTGTAAATGCTTCAACACAATGCAACCAACTCTTTATATAAAGCAAAGCAGTTGGTCGTGATAATTTCTCCAGACTCTTACTGCTTTGCTTTATATAAAGAGTTGGTTGCATTGTGTTGAAGCATTTACAATAAAAAGCAACAAGAAGAGTACTGCTCGGTGCCACTGCTTTGCTTTATATTGTAAATGCTTCAACACAATGCAACCAACTCTTTATATAAAGCAAAGCAGTAAGAGTTAGGAAAAATTATTTTGTGCGTTCACCGAATGGCGTCCGGAGATCAAACAAAATGCGCCACATCACTTTTTTGCTTGGTACCGGTGCTCGATACTGGATGATGTGGCATGTTCTGATTGATCACCGGATCATCCGGTGTCAGCACAGAATAATTTCTCCAGAGTTAGACCCGTAATCACAATAACCTAATCCATGGAGAAAATGAAGTAAAGTAATTTAATGAAACGATAATCTCAGAATTATTCTGTTTACTTGTGGAAAAAACTGAACAATCAAATAAAATCACTGTGCTGCATAAACTTTACTTCAAATCAGATCAAATAAAGAAAAAAAAAAATCCTTTGCAAATACATACTACATCATGCCAAATCTTCTCCACACAAACTGGCTTCTTCCTTAGCTTCCCTGCGTAGCCTTGTCACTTAAAATTCTGGTTCCTTGCTGAGCAGCAAGGTTAGAGGAGTTCATGTTGTAACAGCCTCTAACATTCAGAAAGTTTGCTTTTGGCAATGTCATGAATTTTCTTCCCTTTTCCTTTTTGATTGCTTTAAGATCAGATCCCTGTAACAGCAAATTTATTCATATTAAGAAAAAAATTGAACTCTTTCATTCCAGAATGATTAAAAATAGAATATATTTTTTTTAATCTTGATTGATATATGAAAGTAAGGTATTAACATTGATGGTTAATGCAGGAAAGAAAAGTATTTGTTAGAATAAAGATTAATGACTTGTTGTTGTTACCTCTCCTGCAACCAAGCCTTGTTTTTCCTCCAGCAATTCCTTTTCTTCAATGCTCTTTAATGCATCTAGATAATCAATAAACAAGAAATAATTATCATAATTTAAGTAAAAAGTTTGAAACTTGTCATCAAATTTGTATTTTAACGTTCAATATCCTCTGATAGATGGATAATGATATTTATGAAAAAAATGGGTTTAGGGCATGTTAATCAGAATTTAATTAAGTTTAAAAATCACTAAATTTATTTCAAGAAGAGTATAATAGGAACCAGTTGCTCTAAAAATAATAGAAAATTTGTGTTAAATATTTTGATATAAAATTGTGTATTAATGGATTTAAAAAGTTTTAAAATTTATTTTAAGATGAATATCTATGAGAGTTTATATGCCAAATCAAATAAGATGATTTTCAAACTCAATAAAATAAAATCAAAAGATCTCAGAATTAATAGAAAATTTTGGACGAAGAAATTCTAATCGAGATTGATTAGAATAAACTATAAAGTTTTTTAATTTAATTTGAGAAAAATTCAATAAGAAACTAAATGATTATCTATACATTATCCTTATCTTAAAATAAGATTCAAAATTTAAAAATTCATTCTTTTACTAACTAAGAAAATAAAGGAGAAAAAACCTGGTTTGTGGTCCTGGGCCGCATCGGTGAAATAAAACCGGAAACTCGGCGATCCGGGGAACTCATCCTCCGCCGCAGCTTCTCTCCCAAACCCTATCCTCCTCCCCTCCTCTTCGTCCTTGTCGATTTTCTCCACCTTCTCCTCATTGACTTTTTCCGACGAATCGGACGTCTCAATTCCCTTCTCCTTCACCTTTCCCGATGAATCGGACGTCTCATTTCCCTTTCCATTGACCTCATCCTTCTCACCGGAAGTCTCCATTACAGCCGCGTCATAGTAATCAATGTCGCGCTCCTCAGGTCGGAGAAGCTCCGTCGTCGACACGATGCTATCCTTCCGCTCCCTCCTGACTCGCTGCGACACATCCGTCTTCGTCCTCTTCAAATCATGTATTCGCCGCATGAAAGGCAAAAGCCCCGAAGGGATTTCCTCGCCTGATTCCAATCTAGAAATCCCGCAGCCCATTTCCCGCGAATGGAATATGAAGTTGATCGAAGGCTGCGGGTGGTGGAGAATTGTGAAATAATGGCGACGAGAGGGGATGAGAGGCGAGGATGGGTTTTAGAGTTAGGATTTAGGGGCGGACATTGGTGGAGGAGAGGGTTTTCCGGTAACCGGACGAGGGTTTTTCGCGACATGATCTGAAACATGGGGCGGGGGTTGGGAGATTCGAGTGATTGGTGGACTCCAGCTGTCGGATTCAACTTCGCTGTCCGATCGGAGAGAGAGGGCGCGTAGGTGGATTGGAACTTCAGTTAGGGTTTCTGTCTATATAAAGCCACAGTGGATTATCAGGATGACGGACTCTCATATATTTAAATAAACCAGAAATGCCAAAACGAATATTTTTTTTAGTCACTAAAAATAAAATAAATTAAATGTTCAATATATTTAACAAAGTACATGCTCAAAAAAATTATATTTGTCAAATAATAAATGTCCACAAAAATTTTCTTTTAAGTAGGCCTGCAAACGAACTGAGCCGAGCCGAGTATGTGAGTGTTCATGTTTGTGTTCATTTAATATCAGGTTGTTCAAGTTTGGTTCATGTTTGTTCGAGCTTTATTGTTTGTGTTCATGTTTGATTCATTTAAATTAATAAGTGTTCATGTTCGGTTCATGTTCAGTTCATGTTCGTTCGTTTAGTGCTTATCGAGCTTTAAACAAACATTTATGAACGAGCTCTACTTTTAAATATTCATTAACTTAACAAACGAGCTTTATCGTGCATCCTAACAAACGATTACATCGAGCATGTTCGCGAACATATTTAACAAATTTTTTTAAACAATCAAACAAACACTTTCGTGAACATATCTATTATGAACAAACACATTTATAATAAAAATAATTGTCTATGTAACAAAGTAAATGATTTATAAGAAAATCGCATATTCACAGAATTTTCCTAACACATGAATCGAGCTTTTATCGAACTTGTTCATGAACTTCAAATGATGTTGTTCGCGAACATAAATGAGCTGAACGCATTAGTGTTCAAGTTTGTTTATTTAAGAATCGAGTATTAAAATATTGTTCAAGTTTGTTTGTTTAATTAATTAAAAGATCACAAACGAGCTTTAATCGAACCGAACAATGAGTAGCTCGTCGAATGTTTGGTTCGCTTGCAACCCTACTTTTAAGGCATTCTATAAAAAGAGTATGTTTTAAAATTAAATTAACTTAAGGAGCATGTTTAACAAAAAAATTAAAAAGGAGTAAATACAGAACTTAATTATTCGATTTGAATAAAAACTGAAACTTCATTGTTCGATTTTTACTTTGAATGAAAACCGAATTTTACTTCTCTAGTTTATATAAATTCCTAATTTTATTTTTATGTTATTTTCTTATTTGAAAAGTTTTTATATATTTTTCTTATTTGAAAAGAAATAAATTTTAAACCGAATTTTACTGTTTTATAAAATAATTTCCTAACATAAAAAATTCTAATTCAAAAGTTTTGTGCTAAAAATAATTTTAAAAAAATAGTAGGAAAAATGTCCCAAATAAAGCCTTAAAAAGTGAATTTTAAGGTGATATGAATTACACTAATATAAAGCTCTATGAAGAAATTCTCACAATATCTATTTGGATTTAGAGCATTTGATAAAAATATGAGTAGCACATTCTATTTTAAAATAACTCATATGAATCTAACCAAATAATTCATAAATTACATGTATTCAATTTACTCATATTCAAACCTTTAAATTCTATAGCAACTAAATTTGAGCTTATTAAACTTGTTCATTTACATGGCCAGTTACTAGAAGAGACCAAAGATATGTTTGTTGTTAACAAAAGTATCAATTAAGCTTTCTAAGGATGATGAGGCTAAGCATGTTATAGTGGGATTAAAAATGAAGAATGCATATAATTTAAGATACAACAACATCAAGCATTTGTCTCACTATGTGGGGTCGGCTACATGAATCCTTTTTCGCCATTGTGTCTGGTTAAAAGTCAAATTCTCATTTAAATCTAATAAAGAAAAATCATTTTTAATATTTTCTAATCAAGTTTTTTTAGGTCTACCTATACCTTTATTAACATAAGTCAAATATAATACCTCAAATTTCCTAACAGGGTCATCGGGAGGTCTTCGTTTAATGTGACCAAACCATCTAAGACGACTGTCTCTAATCTTATCTTCCACTGGAGCTACTCCAACCTTTTCACGTATATGCTCATTTCGTATCCTATCTCTAAGGGTCAAGCCACTCATCCACCTAAGCATCCTCATCTTTGCAACACTTAACTTAGTATTATGCTTCTATTTTAATGGCCAACATTCGGCACCATAAAGCATTGCAGGTTTCACCACCATCTTATATAATTTCCCCTTAAGATTGAGGGGGACTTTTCTCTCGCACAATAAGCCCAATGCATTCCTCTACTTCAACCATCCAACTTGAATTCTGCTGATAGTATCTCCATCAATTTCACCATCACTCTGAACAATAAATCCAAGATATCTAAAACATGTACTCTACTCTTATTAATGACTTGATCGCCCGAAGTCACAATCTACTCATTAGGTCTATTGCTACTAAAATTATACTCCATATATTCAGTTTTAGATCTACTCAAGTGAAAACCTTTAGACTCTAAAGTTGACCTATATAATTCAAGTTTACTTTTAACTCCCTCTAGTCTTATCAACAATAAGAATACCATCATCAAAAAGCATACACCAAGGTGCATCCTCTTGCAAATGTCTAGTGAGAACATCCATGACAAAAGCTAGAAGATATGGACTTAAGGCTGATCCTTGATGTAATCCAACCAAAATAGGAAAATACTTGGTCAAACCACCTTGTGTTTGAACACAAGTAATAGCACCTACATACATATCTTTAATGATTTGAATATAAGCATTATTAACTCCTTTCTTTTCAAGAACTCTCCATAGCACTTCTCTCGAGACTTTATCATATGCTTTCTCTAAATCAATAAATATCATATGTAAATCCTCCTTATTCTCTCTATATTTCTTCATCAAACCTCTCAATAAATGTATGACTTCCATAGTAGACCTACCCGGCATAAATCCAAATTGATTTTGAGAAACATTAGTATCAACTCGCAACCTACGCTCCATAACTCGCTCCCATAGTTTTAACGTATGACACATTAACTTAATTCCTCTATAATTCGCACACTCCTGTGCATCACCTTTATTCTTAAAAATAAAAATTAACACACTCATTCTCCACTGATGTGGCATATTTTGTCTTCAAAACAATATTAAAAAGTTTTATAAGCTAAGAAATTCCTTCATCTCCTAAGCATTTCCACATATATATTGGAATATCATCAGGTCCAACAACTTTTCCACACTTCATTTTCTTTAAAACCTCTCTAACTTTGGTTTTACTTTACGCCGATAAAAATAAAAATATTTATTTTCATTTAGGATAATAAAGTCACTAAGGTCAATCGTATTTTCACATTTCTTTATCAAAAAGTTTTGCAAAATACCTCATCCATTTTGATCAATCAAATAATTTAAGATATTCAGTGTAAAATTTTGATCAATCAAAGTTCTAAATTTAATACTTTGAAGATAATCCTGATCAAATTATTGGAATATGCTGATAGACAGTTTCTTACAAGAAAAGCAATGGAGAGATATAAGAGACAGGAAGGGCATTCACAAGGGAAAAAGCTAGCATAGAGTTTACTTAAATATTTAGAGAGCAGGAGAGTACTATGGTGGACCCGAGGAAAAGAGGAATAGACTTTAGCAGAGAGAGAGAGAGAGAGAGAGGGGGGAAGAGAAGGGAATATGAAAGAACATGACAATTAGGACTTACCAAGTCCTATTCATATTTGGGATTAATTATTTTGTTCGGATGACGAATATTATTAGGAGATCAACTAGAATGCATCATGCCACCTTTATGCGTGGTAACACGGCTTGGTACCGCTGACCTGATGCATTCTGATTAGCCTCCAAATGACATTCTGCGTCCGCACAAAATAATTTCTCCATATTTGATCCTACATCATTTCACCTTAGTCCCTAGACTCCAAGAAACATGTTTTGAATGTTCAGATGGCTGTTTTTACCACTTCAAAAACCGGATATTTTTTTACGGAGCAAGGTGGTTAATTTAAATTAATAATAAGAACAAAATATTAAAAAGAAGTAGACTATCTAAATAGAATGACACTTTCGAAAGAATGACTAAATCATTTGGTGCATTCAAAATGCAAAGAACTGCAAATGAAGAAATCCAGGCTCATATGCTTTCATTAATAAATGAGTTCCAAAAGAACAGTTTTGAGCTTGAAGATGCTTTCATACTCTACATCCATTGTGTTGATGGCTTGCAAAACCTCTTTGACAAAAAGCCTAAGATCAGGTCAGGTACAATTAAAAACAGGCCTTGGAAGGTTTCCTGATAAATACAGAAAGTCACAAAATTGTTTATTTTTTTTTTTCAGTAAAAAAAATAATTACAGTTGTAAAAATGAGGTGGCGGTTTGGCTCTATAATGGCTATCAGTTCGAGCAAAAGATACAGTGGATTTGTCTTCTTTTGCCCAATATCTTTCTGGCAAAAGCTCTTCCAGATTTTCTATGCTGCTTAATGACTGTAAATATGATGACAAAACGACAGCCGATGCTATCAGAGTTGCTTTATTGTGTGCGTCAAAAGTAGTGCTAGAAAATGTTTGACGACCAGCTGTTTTCATCATGTATTCACTGCCTCATCCTCACTGTTGCCAGAATCATCACTGCAGTTTTGGACAATAGATGATGTGAGAGTATTATAAAGATGTATTTAGTATTTTATTTTAAAACGGGGTATCCACCCGCTGCCAACTCGAAAGGGTTTTTGGCGGCGTGACTAATCTTCGGCTGACCTAGAGGAGGCACCCACCCCAGAAATCTCCTGGCCCGCACTTGATTAGGCCCCACTTAAGAGGGGCGGCCGCCCAAGAGGAATCGAGCACGGGTTGGGGGTTCCCAACCGTACTCGCCCACAAACCAAGACAAGCATCGGTGGGTTGTATTTAGTATTTAGGCATAGTAGAGAACTGAAAGCTACCAAAAAAAGGGCTTAAAATGGAAGCTATGATCCAATAGGCTAAAAAAACAGAAAAATTGGAAGATATGCTCATAAGGATAGAGCTGCAAAGACCAAAAGAGGGAGTTATATTGTCAAAATGCAATTTAAACTTCAATTTTAGGAAGGGGCTATAATATTAGGATAGGGGAGAGATTTATAAGAAGAAAATCATAGAAACTATCCAATATTCTTGAATCAATTAGCTATAAGAACGTTAGCACAATCAGAATAGTCATTAAGATGGCTACATGTTACTAAGAAGCATTTGTGATATTATAATTTAATAATCATGGGAAAATAGGAGTAAGAGCAATAAAAACAATAGCTTCTTAGGAAAATATTCATTAAGCAGCAACAACAACAAAACAAGCCTTTTATCTCACTATGTGGGTCGACTACATGAATCTTTTTTTTATTCATTGTGTATTGTTAAGATTCAAATTCTTATTTAAAACTAATAAAAACTGAAAATAATTTGGAATTCAAGACTGTAAGAAGTACCTGTTTTCAGAGAGCTTTGATAATCTACGAGCATCTAGGCCAGTGATATACTTCTGAGCAGCTTGCACATAATCCGCACCTATGGAAGAATTTAAGGAAGCTAACATTAGATTCGCTATTTAAAGCTTCAAAAGAGCACAGCCGCATCAAGCTCCACTAATGTAGGGACTGAAGAAGAGTTGATGCACGTAACATTAACAATTTATTTGTAGAAAGGTTATATATATAAATATATCTTGAACCTATTTAGAAGCTTACAAAGAGAAAAATAATCTAATAATTCTCTAGGATTGGAAGAAAAAAGAGGTAAAATAGAATGAAGAGGTCATCAAAGGCCTTAAGAAACTGCTCTACATGCATTATTGTTAAAAATTTGTATCAAGAAGAGAAAAAGCAGAAAAAACAACAGAGATCTTTACCAACTATATTAAGAGAGGAAGCAAGACAGGGTTGACCAAAAAAATTCTATAGTTCTTGGCAGGGGTTGTCAAGATCAGACTAGAAAAAGAAAAGTTAAGTATTTTAGGATATTATGGGTCAGCCAAAGTAATATGTTGTCGATCAATTTGCTAGGATACAATTTCATCTTATTTGAGAGGTAAATTCAGAAAAATTAAAACAAAAAACAGCAATATCTAATAGAAATCATATTGCTTCTCAAGAAATCAATAACAAATTTTCCTTTTCTGTCTGTAGCTCTTGGCGTACCTTTCAAACCATTAGTAAGAATTTCAGTTATGGATATGTACAATGGAAATGGAAGCACAAATGAAACAAGTTACCCAAATCATGTACAGAAATTTAGATGAAGTAAAATTACTTGAATGAAGAGGTGATTTTTGTATATATATACAATGAATATGGAATTCATCAATACATATAACCCAATGATACAGAAGAATATATAAAAACAACCACACACTTGAAAAGGCTTCATAGTGAGAATAAGGAATAATTAAACAGCGTTTATCTTGCTCTCAAAGAAATGGTGAAAGATGAAATACCTTTTGTCAGTAAAAAAACATGAAGAGCACAACGTTCCGCGGCAAGGCGGACAGGCATATTACCATCTTTCAAACACTCCGCAATAGCAGGGCCCAAATTGGAGATGTTGGCCATAACCATAAAATGATTTACCTGAAATATATTTATTTTTGTAGATTTAGCACAAACCTATCAGATAAATATAGCATAAAGAACATGAAAAGGACCATGAACCTGTGCAGCAGCTTTTATACTGGATAAAGATCTTCTCCTGACATCACTGGAATCATCTTGCAAAGCTAAGATAAGTGATCCAAGAAGATCCGCTAAAGCACTCTTCTGCGCTTCATTTTTGGCCTCATAATAAAGTAGCCTTCCCAGAGCTTTAGTTGCAGTTTCACGAACAGGGAACTGTTAATATGTCAAAATATAAGATCAATCATTCCGTGATATAAAAAAAACATTCTCAGAAAATACCACACGTCCATACCTTGTCATCTCGTAAGGAACTTTTCAGATTATCCATGATAGATAGGAAAAGCGATGATTGGCATATCATGGATGGCGCATGCAAAGCCATAGAAGAGAGGGTAAGCATTGCGCCATGCCTATTGTACCAATTTGGTGAGGTGCATAAGGAAGACAATGTTTGCAGCAGATCCATAGCTTCACTGTTTTCCAAGTACTGAAAAAAAGCAAGGATAAATTGAAACCAATCTAGCTTCTCATAAAAAAAGAATGCTAAAAGTTATTAGAATCAAAATTTCTAGACATTCATTAAATAAAACATAGAAATTATAAAATCTGTTAGGCCTTCTTCTATTTTACTTTATCTACTGCTTCAAGACAAATTTTTAGACATCACAATTGTACAATCACAAGGTCATATGACGGTTTTACTCAAAAACATTGAAGTATTGATGTATCAAACTGATTATCAAAAAATAATGGAGCAGATAGAATTTATTATGCTCACAAAAAAGAGAAGGTTTGGGCAATTTAGTTTCCATAATATGCCAGAGTTGGCAATTAAGTTAGTTTTTAATTGGCTATAGAAGGGTAAAAATATAAATAAAAACTCCAAGCATGCCAAATAATTTGCTCAAGCTCTTTAGTCTATAATTTATATTTCAATCATATATCTTAATTAATCATTGACAATAAGTTACTATACTATAATAAATTCTTTAAACTGATATCATCTAGGATCCCCAATGAATGGTTTCTTGAACCGTTAATGTTAAGCATGTGAGCAAAATTATATCCCTAGTACTAATGAAATCATCATGCCTGTGTAAGTTCCGTATATTTCAATATTATCTTTCATATTGTGCATACATATTGGCAATGTAGCATTCCTCTATTCATGTGGAGAAAATGTGGGAGAAAAATGAATTGTCCATGGCCGGTGTATTATGTTGTGTGTAATAAAAGTGAAGTTATAAGGGCTTGTGCAAATATGAATACGAATATGAAGTGTTATCTAAATCAAAAGATCGTGAATAATTCTATTACATTTACTTCATATGATTTATGTACTATATACATCATGCATTCATTCATGTTTTGTTTTGCTCAGCTCTAGTATAAATAAAGTTATGTTCTGTTCTTGTCCAAGTGAAGAATATTTAATTCTTCAATAGATTGTATAGCCTACCTCACTTTGTATTATTTACATAATATTTCAAGAAAGCGTAAGGCCTTAGTAGAAGAGGGAAGTATCAATAAAGTCCAATTCGTAGAATTTTCTAGTAATTTTAAGGTATTCTTTTTTATAATCCCGTTAAAATTTGTATGTGGTTAAAACTTGTACTAGATATTGTATATAAATTTTTTGGGAAATGATGATATTCACGTTTATTGTTCATATTAAATATTTTTAGTTGCTCTGATTGAGTTTGAGAAATGAGATGAATTAGGAAATAGGTTTCTTACGTCCTGCAACATTTGCAAGCGATAGAGAAATATAAAGATAAACGTCCTAACTTTGTACAAAGATTTAGCACACAAACAGATAAATAGAACAGGTGTAGCATTTATAAGAGACACAAGAGTTTTTACGTGGAAACCCCTGAAAAAAGAAAAAACCACAAGGTCTTGCTCAATTTAAACAAATCTACTTGTGTTTGCAGTTGATTACAAACGAGGCCCTTCCTTGGGGGAAAGGCCTTGGCTTGATGCAGCCAATATACATTTATATATAGTGCATTATATGGTGGGAGTTGGAAGAATCAGTGCGGACATATTCATTTGGTCGGCAAGACCATAGTCGGCGAGCTATGTAGGTCAAAATGACCAAAATCTGGCGATGATGGTCGCAAGGATTATAGTCGAGCTTCTGAGGTCAAAAAGACCATAGTTGGGCAATGGTGATCGGAGAACCATAGTTGGCGAGTGACGAAGGTTGAAAAGACCGTAGTCGGGCGACGGAGGTTGGAAGGACCGTAGTCGGGTGACGGAGGTTGGAAGGACTGTAGTCAGTGTGCAACGAAGGTTGGAAAGATCGTAGTCGACGAGCGATGAAGGACTGAAAGACCATAGTCGGAAAATAGTGGTCGGAAGAACCGTAGTCGGCGGGCGACGGAGGTCGGAAAGATCAAAGTCGGCAACAGTGGCTAAAAGGACAATAGTCTACAGGGCGACGAAGGGTAGAAAGACTGTAGTAAGTGGGAAATGAAGGCCGAAAAGACAATAGTTGGATGATGTTGGACGGAAGGACCATAGTCAGCGGGCGACGAAGGTTAAAAATATCGTAGTCTGTGAGCGACGAAGGTCAGAAAGACCATAGTTGGGTGAAGATAGCCAGAAGGACCACAATGGGTGGGCGACGGAGGTCGGAAAGACCGTAGTCAGCGATGATGGTCGGAAGGACTATAGTCTGCAGGCGACAAAGGTTAGGAAGACCGTAGTCAGTGAAGGTGGTTGGAAGGACGGTAATCAGCGGGCGACGAAGGTAAGAAAGACCGTAGTCTGGAGATAGTGGTCGGAGAGATCATAGTTGGCGGGAGATGGAGGTCGGAAAGACTGTAGTTTCCAACCTTCTCTGAGTGACGGTAGTCCGAATGACCGTAGCCACAGAGTTCAGAAAGATGGTAGTTAGGCAGTGATGGTTGAAAGGGCCGTAGTAGGGCGACGATGGTCAGGGAGAACCGTAGTCAGAAGATGGTAGTTAGAGAGACCATAGTCAGCGGACGAAGGAGGTTGAAAAGACCGTTGTCTGGTAACGATAGTTGAAAGGACCGTAGTTGGTGAGCGACAGAGGTTAGAAAGATCGTAGTCGGGTGAAGCGAATGACCATAGTCAGATGACGAGAATCGAGAAGACTATAGTATAAAAATGATGGTCGGAGAGACCGCAGTCGGTGGGCGACGGATGTTAGAAAGATCGTTGTTTGGTAATGGTGGTCAAAAAGATTGTGTCGGGCGACCCCAGTCGGGGAGAACGTAGTCTAGAGATGGTGGTCGATTCGGCGATAAGCATGTAACATTTGGAGACCATATTAAGAAAGTATCAATTATGAATCTAATTTCAAAATAAATCAAATTGGATTTATTATTCCCTTTTCTCAATTTGAAATTTGAAATTCAAATTTCAAAAAATTTTCCTTATTTGCAAATCTAAATTAGGAAAGTACATAACTCAAAGTCTATTTAAATTTCAAATTGGATTTGAGTTGTCATTCTCTTTCCTAAATGACATAAATTGATTTGGAAGTTACAAAACCTCTTCCCAAATCCCTCCCTCTCTCTCTTCATGCCGCCGGCCCTAGCATGGACTTTGCCCCATTAATTCCCATTAAAGCCCCCCCTCTCTAATTAATTTGAATTCAAAATTCAAATTAGTTTTCCCTCCTATTGTACTCAAAACCTGAAATTATTTCATATTTGGGATAAAATTTCTTTTCCTCACCCAGATCTAACCTAATTCCCCCAATCAAGCCTCCCATTTAAAATTAATGTGAATCCCAAGGTTATTCCTGCTGCCATTCACAGTAGGAATCCTTGGAAATCTGAGATTTTTCCCCGCCAAGTTATTGCTCAAGCTTCTGGGCAAGTCCTGTGATCCGTCCAAAGGGTTCCTAGCCTTACAAGCTGCTGTCCCTGGCTGTCCAGTTGCTGTCCAGCATTCCAAGTTGGTGTCATTTGCTGTCCAGAATTTCGGAGTCAAGAAAACTGCTGTCCAGCATCCTTGAGGACCAAAAGCTGTTGTCCGGAGTCTGCACCAGGCCGCCTGCTTGCTGTCCAAAGACTCCAGCAAGGATTTGTTGCTGTCCAGCCAACCAAGAAGCCGTCAGTTGTTGTCTACTTCCTCTCAAACCTGCAGACTACCACCAGAGCTTTATAACTTCTTTCTCTGGGTAGACTCTCCCTCCTAGTCTCTTATTTTCCTAGTTTACCCCTCGGTTGTGGTTATTGTGGAGTCATGAAGATAATGTTAATACTTCTCCGCTAATGCGTAGAAATTGGAAAAGTTGATTGAGGGATCTTCTTGTGGAGACTAATCTTATTGTTAGCATTGAGATTTATTGTTGAAATCATTCACGTATGCAACGTTAAATTAACTTGATTGTTTTCTCATCTTAACTTTTACGCACGTGATTCGGCCTAAGCTTGTCTTACCGCTCTTAGTATTTTATTGCGTCGTTTAAATTCACCATTAGAGAGTGGATCAAGGATCAGCCTTAAGCCCATATCTTTTGCTTTAGTCATGGATGTTCTCACTAGACATTTGCAAGATGATGTACCTTGGTGTATGCTTTTTGCTGATGATATTCTTCTTGTTGATAAGACTAGAGAGGGAGTTGAAGGTAAACTTGAATTATGAATGTCAACCTTAGAGTCTAAAGGTATTCGCTTGAGTAGATCTAAAACGGAATATATGGAGTGTAATTTTAGTAGTAATAGTCCTAGTGAGGGGATTGTGACTTTGGGCGATCAAGTCATTAATAAGAGTACATGTTTTAGATATCTTGGATCTATTGTTCAGAGTGATGGTGAAATAGATGGGGATATTATCAGCAGAATTCAAGTTGGATGGTTGAAGTGGCGGAATGCATCGGGCTTGTTATGTGATAGAAATATACCCCTCAAACTTAAGGGAAAATTCTATAAGATGGTAGTGAGGCCTGCAATGCTTTATGGTGCCGAATGTTGGCCATTAAAAGAGAAGCATAATACTAATTTAAGTGTGGTAGAGATGAGGATGCTTAGGTGGATGAGTGGCTTTACCCTTAGAGATAAGATACAAAATGAGCTTATACGTGAAAAGGTTGGAGTAGCTCCAGTAGAAGATAAGATTAGAGAGAGTCGCCTTAGATGGTTTGGTCACATAAAAAGGCAGCCTTCCGATGACCCGGTTAGGAGAGTGGAGGTATTAGATTTGACTTGTGTTAAGAAAGGTAAGGGTAGACCTAAAAAGACTTGGTTAGAAAATATTAGGAATGACCTTTCTTTATTAGATTTAAACGAGAATTTGACTTTTAATAGGACACAATGGAGAAAAAAGATTCATGTAGCCGACCCCACGTAGTGGGATAAAGGCTTGATGATGTTGTTGTTGTTGTTTAAATTCACCATTAAGATATAATTATTTGTTCTAGGAATATTAAATGTGCAAATCCATTAAGCAATTCATCTTTGCATGTATGTTTCACATCATGGCCTTCTCTCTTTCTCACACTTTTCTTAGAAAAATGCCCGCAGAATCCTTCGACCTTCCCCTCATTTCTCTCTTGCTTGAAAACATATGAAGCAACCAAAGAGCCACGCAGCTCTCTACCTTAGAAGTCTGCAAATGCGAAAATGATTGCCTTGAGTTGATATGGATCCCAAACAATCCGAGATTTTGAGAAACGATGAGGGCTTGCCGATTTTAAGAAATTGAGAGCCGTTAGATCTCATTTACTGATTTGGAAAGTCAAATGAGCTCATATTGGATATATTTGGCTGAAATTCGGTCCGAATTGGACCCAATTCGAATCGATTTGAGTCGATTTTGGTCCAATCATGCCAATTTGATGAAATTGGACTCAAATTGGTGCCGATTTGTGTTGAATTGGGTTCGACGATGCTCGACGAAGCCCAATTGGGATTGATCTCGGTCTATTTGACTTTAATTGGGCTTAATTGAGGTTAAATTGGCTCAACCAAGGTATGATTTGGGATACAATTGAACTAAATAACTTTAATTAGTATATGCGAACAGAGAAGAACTAAAGCTTTAGAAAATTATTCGAGCAAATGGGCAAAAATTGACCAGCAACATGGATGAAAATTATAGAAAAATGATTAATTTTATTTTTATTTAATTGCTCACTTTCTTTTCATTAGCTTTTTGTCTATTTGCATCTCTCTTGCACTACTTTGCACGACTTCAGATTGACCTTAAGTATGACATTACATGTCTTCTAAAAATATTTTTAATCATGGTTTAAATTTGCGCAATATGAGGCTCGTTTTGATGCCCGCCTTTGCGCAATTCCAATAAAAAACGCCTCGATGCTTATGCCTCGAGTTTTTTTTTTTATGAGGGTCAAGTTGAGGCGCGCCTTGAGGCCCGCCTCGCCTCACTGGCATGAGGCTTACGCCTCACACTACATATATTAAAACTTACATAAATCTTGAAGTAAATGCCCGACATTGGACTCTATAGGAGAGGAGGAAGGGGAGAGAGCAGTTCATCATAATGATGATTCAAATGAAGAACCCCTTAGTGATGACAGTGCTGATGACTTATGAGTTCTTATGTAATGTCCTTGCTATTTATTTTTGGAAATTTGAATTATATGTTAATGAAAAGAATACTGGGATTTGGGAAAGATAGAATTTTGAGTTGAATTATATTTCATGTTGTCTTATTATTGGGATAGTTTGATTTAACTTCATATCTTATGCTTTTTTATGTTTTATATTATTCACTCATTAGTATATAAAAATTTTATCATTTTATGTTTACGCAATCTTTTGATTTTGAGGCTTACGCCTCAAAACGCTTTGCGGCTTACGCCTCGCCTCACGAATGAAAAACGCCTCAATACACGAATTTAAACATTGTTTTTAATACACTTTCAATATATATTAACATTTGTATATATTCTCAATCAGAGCAATGATTGTTTGTATATAAAAAGCCAGTCATCACTTTGTTTTTGTTTGTCAAAAGAAATATGATCATGCAATAATTGCATATCGTATTGGACTAAATATTTTCGTAGTAGATTGTGTGAGGTTTCTTTTAAGATAAGGGCAGACTTTTCTTTTTAAAAAATTAATTTGAGCCCCTGCTATAAAAAATTTCTAACTCCGCCACTGCCCATAAACACTATGAATGTTTTTAAAATATTCTATCACTCTACCAACATGTCCATTTAAATCTCATTTAATAAAAAATTATTTCTTCAAGAAGTATCATTTATATTAATTCTTCTAAGTCATTTCAAAATTTAAATTTTAAACATATATCTTAACCTATTTGATGAGCAGTACTTATAATATTAATAATCATAGTCATAATTGTCAATAACGAATAGCGCACCATGGCACAAAGTTTTTCGTCGAGATTTTTTGATATTTTATTAATTTGGTATTAAATTAATTAATAATTAATTATGATATTAATATATGAACTTTAAAATTTTAATTATAATTTATAATATGAAATTTAAATCATGTTAACAAAATAGGGTGCGCCATTTACGCCTAGTGTCATTGCCCATGCATGGCACAAATAGCGTGCACTATTTCATCACGCCATGTTGCTCGCCATTTTGTGTAATTGACATGTATGATATCAGCATCAACAATAATATTTAAAATTATAATTCTAACTCTAATTCTATTAGTTTATACAATATTATCCTTCAGACTCTTATTTATAGTCACACCAATATCATTTCTAGTATAACTCCTTGAATACCAAAGTTTAAATCTTAAACTACCAATCTCCTAAATCTTTTTTTCAACCTATTTAGTTTTCTGAATACTTAGAATATTTATCTTCTAATGAATCATAATAGTTTTTAATATCATTAATTTGTCTATAAGATAATTTTTATTCTAAGTTCCTATCATAATTTTAGTTTATGGACTCGGAAAATCTTATTTGTTTAACACAATACACGGGCACTGGTGCAGCCGCCCTTGCACACTTTTCATTGTATTCAGGCCATAAAACGCATCGATTCTAGGGAATGCTATAACATTAGTACAATGCATTAAATAATTCATGTCATAATTATCCAACAAATTTTATGCAAAACCATCAACTACATAACAATATAACATAACTCTCCACTTTTCTCATCTACAGCATGGAATTCGACAACAGTAGCGTTAATCAATATCTAGTTTGAAAATATCCTAAATTTCTTTAAAACTTCAGATCTTACAAAAACTCACTAGATTATGAAGAATGTCTATTTATAATTTGATAAATATTAAATCCTATTTATAATTTATTCCTGATATTACACACTAAGTATCTCACTTGAATTATAGGATCTTCTTCGGGATTGATTTTCTAATTTTTATCACCTCAATGTCTTATCCTTTTATAAAAAACCTAATAATAATAATTTTCTTTACAACAACAACAAGCCTTTATCCCACTATGTGGCTACATGAATTTATTTTCTCCATTGTGTCATGTTAAGAGTCAAATTTTCATCTAAATCTAATAAAGAAATGTCATTTCTAATATTTTCTAACAAAGTCTTTTTAGGTCTACCTCTACTTTCTTAACATAAGTTAATACATCTACTTTCCTAACTGGGTCATCGGAAAGCCGTCATTTTATATGACCAAACCATCTATAAGGCGACTATCTCTAATCTTATCTTCCACTGGAGCTACTCCAACCTTGATATGATTGAAGGCGGCGTGAATGAGGAGAATTCGATTAATAATAATAATTTTCTTTATTTAAGATAAATTACTAATTTATCACATTGAAGCTAAATCAATCAACATCAAATAATATTTTTATCTCAAATTGATTTCTCCTCATTCAAGCCGCCTTCAATCATATAAACTTGACTCTAAACTCAATTTGTGGAAAAATACACTAAATTAGAATTCTTACTGAAAATCTTAATCCTCTTCCGGTTATGAGGGTTGAGAAGGAACATGTTTGTGCAAACCGAAAGTACAAAAATCTTTGTTATGATGCATTTACATTGAAATGGTGAACTACAACAGAAAAATGGCTATACCACAAAAAAAATTTCCATGCTAAATAATACCAGCAAATAGATAGTTAGCATGAGAAATGCAAAAAATTGCAGTAAGCAGTAAATGAACATCAAATCTGGAGTACTGCATTTAGGCAAATATCTTATCAAACCTTAGACATAGTCCCGATAACTTTTGCAGCAGATTCTCGTACTTCGTCAACATCGACTTGAATCAACTCCCCGAGGAGAGTGCATAGCCGACATCTGACAGTATTGCTTATACTCTTCCCAGAATGCCTAATAACACCTCTAAGAGCAGTTAAAACAGCTTCCCTTACTCCACCATTTGATGCCTGAAAACAACATTAACTTCCGCATAAAAAGATTGATGCGTGAATAACAAAATGACATAATATCCAGAATGGGAATTATTACCTGCAAAGTAGAAAGAAGATCACCAACCAAAGGGTCGACCCGGTTGCTGAGTGCACTAAGCTTTCCAAGAGCGAGCGCTGAACTTGTACGCACACTTCTACAATGTGCATAACAGAAGAACTTAGGCAAAAGCTCTTTCAAACAAAAAGAACAGGTTTGACTACTAACCTTGTGCTATCTTGCAAACATTTAATGAATGTAGTTTGAAGCTGAGGAAGAAAGGGCCTAAGTGCAATCCCACCCTTGCTGATTATTATGGATAAGGTAGCTAAGATGGCCCCTTTCACTTGCCACGGGAATCTATCCCCTATTATCCGGATAAGAGGTCTGCATGTGGGCAAAAGCGTTCAATCATATTTGAATAGTAGAAATACATAAGAAAATATGAATATACATTGTTTCTAGAAAATATTGTTTGATACAGTTTCCAATGGTTAATAGAGAAAAGTAGCCTATGACAATTTGTATGCCAAATAATTGAAAAGCCACCGAATTCCTCTCTCTCTCTCTCTCTCTCTCTGCCAGTCCCATGCTTCCTCCCTCAATTATTTTCCTTTCAAACCTGGGCCCAAATATAAAGGAATTAATTCCCCTAATTCCTCCCTCTCCCTCTCCCCTCCCTTTTCCCTTTGCCCCATCAATCAAATCTTGCTTTCCAAGTCTTGCCTATTTTAGATTTCTATTTTAGAAACAATTTAGATTCATATTTGAATTTGAATTTGTTCCTAAAATAGGAATCCTTATTTTAGGAAAGATTCCAAAATCAATCCTATTTGAATTTTAAATTAGATTAGAATTAAATTAATTCATCCTAATTTAAGATTCCAAATCAAGTAAGCTTTGATTTTTTTCCTCAAAGCCCCTCCCCTCACATCTTAAGGCCGCCGGCCCCTCTCCCTATATCCCCCTCTCTCCCCTCTAGGCTAATTATTTCCTTCCAAAATTAAGGACTCCGATTAAGGAAATAATTAGCCCCTCCTCTTCCCTCCTTGTTAGAATTTTAAAATTCACATCTTTCAGTTATAGGAAATTTGAAATTTAATTTCATAATTTCCCTTTTAATCCCTTCCCCTCCTTTACCCATCACCTGACATCTAAAACATAAAGGGATCTCCTTTCCCTAGCTTTGGCCGAACCTACCATCCTCCCTCCAAAATTATTTGTCTATTCCCTTGCTACACCCACAATCCGAGAAGGAAGATACGATACTAGTAGATCTCCTTTCCTCCATGGATGGCGGATCCCGAGCGTGACCACGGATTCATCTACGACCCTCAAGGCTTAGTGGATATTCTATAATCTATGTACTTCGATCTCAATCTAGAAGTTGACAACACCATCAACCACATCCTATTCACCTTGGCACCTTCTATCGAAGAGCATCTACCCTCAAGAAATTGAAGATTCATCAAACATCCACCCGCGTCTTCCCCTCCGGCTAACTTTTCGTGGATCAAGACCGTAGGCGTCCTCTTTCTTTCGGTGGCATCTCTAGGAGTGTTGAAGTTGTTCTTCCGCTAACCCCACTATCAAGACTACATAAGAGGGAAACTCGAAGGCGGATTTTTTAGTTGTTACTCGGTTAGACCCTTCTCCCCCCTCGTTCTACATCAATTTATCTATTTATTATTTACTAAGTACCTTTGCCTTGTATGCCAATTTATAGGTAATGTTTTCACTCAATATACAAGTGGAAATTCTAACTTAATGGAACAAATATTTTTTAATTTAAAAAAATTAATACATATAAAGTTCACTCTACTTAATCAAGTTCAAAGGCATTAATTTCCCTTCTAATGCTTACATTATAAAAAATAATAACTAGAAGAAAACAAAATATTGAACTAATTGTACCAAATATTCTCTTTTTATGTCATATAAGGTTGTATCTAATGCATAATGAAATGATGTAATCCAAGCTTATCCCTACATCTTGAGGATTGTTTTCATTATTTGAACCCATGAAATCTAGATTATAATGGAGTCAACTTACCATTTACTACAAGACCGCCCCCTAGGAGAATGCATATAAAGATAAAAGAAAATTGCTATATGTAATGTATTTTTAAGAGAGGAATGTCATCTCTCTTGTCACTCAATCTTCCAACAAGACCTCTAAACATAAGATCATGCTCTCTAACAACATTAAAACTGAAGAAAAAAACAAAAAAAAATCATGTTAAAGAATGTTAGATTACCTATTTGGTGCCTATAAATCTCATTGATGGAGGTTTCAAACCGCAAAAGAAGAAAATTATGATTTAGACTAACAAATTGCTTGAAATTGTACACAGATTGTTCACGATATTTCTAAAACGTCCAATGATTTTAACTGGTTATATATATATATATATATATATATATACCGACTAGGAGAACAAGCAGGTATAACCTATGTGACAAAGGAGAAGAGAGAGTAAAGTTGAAAAGAAAGAGCAAGCATGTGTGTGTGTGTGTGTGAGAGAGTGAGAGAGAGAGAGAGAGAGAGAGAGAGAGATTCAACGAGAATTTGCAAACTGCTACTGTATTACAAATTTATGAAAATTCACAATCAATTGCATACCCACCTGGCTATTGGAGTTGGGAAGATAAGGACATAGAGTTCTCTTATACAAGTGACATTGCTTTTTTTGAAAAGGAGATTGTGATGGTTTTCGACAAATCTCCTTCCATGGAAGTAGCTTTAGATGTAAAGGATGAAGGAATGGTTTTTTGCAGTGAAGCTGCCACTTTTGGAATAGAGGCACTCATAGGGAAGGAGAATTGATCTTGGAGTTCTCAAGACATTACTATTGTGAAACATGCATGGGTTTTTACTAATGTTGTCATGGAGTATGTCGGGCTCTTGGTGTTATTACAAAGAGGATTAGGGTGCTTATCAAGGTTTAAAATTGCGTAAATAAGCCTCGAGGCTGTGTGACGCATAAGCCTCATGGACGAAGAATTGCATAACTGCGAATTTCAGTATTATAGCAGATAAATAATAGTAAGAGTTTATGATACAATAAAAACATCTAATTGAGAAGTGAACTTAGTGGAAAATAATAAAATAGATGCAATATATGCATCTTATAGCATAATTCAAAGTACAAAACTACAAATTGAAGTCTATCAAAACTCCCAAAGTATAAATAAGAAAGAACATCTAAAATTCAATCATGTCCCATCATTAAATAGGTCTTCAGTGGAGGCATCTTCATCTCCAATTGTATCTATGAATGTCAAATCTTCATCATCTTCAATATTACCCATTTTTCTCTTCCCTGTTCAATAAGAATGATTTTTTTTAGGAGCCTTTTGCATTAAAAAAAAACCTATTACAAACTACTAAGTGATAGAAAAACTATCACAATCCTCTTTTAACAAAGAAAGAAAAGGAGGAAACTTATTAAAACTTAGATCATCCAAAAAAAATCACCAAGTAAAGCAAAGTTAGCACAAAAATCGGCTAACTTATTACATTTTCTATGAGAAAAATGAAATAAAAAATTCTCAAAATCTTTCAAAAAAGATAAGTCTTCCGCCATGTCATTATCCATTTTTCCAAATGCTTTATCAACCGAACCTTGCAGATACTTGACAACATTGTAATTGTCTCCCTCAATTATAATCCCTTTGACTTCCATCATCCATTCTTGTAGTATCATTTTCAAAGATCGAAAAGCCAAAAGCTTTGATGGTTTGGTCACATAAAAAGGCGGCCTTCCGACGACCCGGTTAGGAGAGTAGAGGTATTAGATTTGACTTGTGTTAAGAAAGGTAGGGGTAGACCTAAAAAGACTTGGTTAGAAAATATTAGGAATGACCTTTCTTTATTAGATTTAAACGAGAATTTGGCTTTTAATGGGACACAATGGAGAAAAATGATTCATGTAGCCGACCCCACGTAGTGGGATAAAGGCTTGATGTTGTAGAAAAAAATAATAATAACAAAAAATAAAAAACGGGAGGCATGTATCTTATTAGCAGAGAAGAAGCAAGACGTTTGACTTAGTGCCTTGAGAGGAGACGAGGGAAATGGTAGGTGTTCTAGATAACATAAATCGTGCACATAATATCAACAATCCATACATCATATCATAAAAAAAGATTGTATCCTGGCTTTCGCCAAAATGAATTATCTCACACAGAATATCAACAGTTCATACATCATAGCATAAAAAAAGATTGTTTCCTGGCTTTAGCCAAAACGAATTATCTAAAATATTATTCCTGAAGAATAAACAAATAAATTATTACTTACTAAAAATAAAAAAAAAAGATTGTATCCTGGCTTTCGCCAAAATGAATTATCTCACACAGAATATCAACAGTTCATACATCATAGCAAGTTGTTAAAACGAATTATCTAAAATATTATTCCTGAAGAATAAACAAATAAATTATTACTTACTAAAAATAAATTTTATTTAAATTATAAGAAAATAATAAAAAAAATTGTTTAAAAATATGTAGTGCGTGTCAAAAACTTGAGAATTTTCACATAATTATTTAGTTCCACATCATTTGAGAACTGTCTTAATATTATTGTTCATATGACATTTTTGGTTTCCAGTGGATGTGTTAGGAGCTCACAGGAGTGGTGGGCCATATGAAAAATGCTTGGTTAGTACTTATTTGACAAATAATTATTATTAAAAGTTATTACTCATTACAAAATATATTAAATTGAATATTTATATTAAACTTATTGCATTAATTTTTTTAAATATTTAAATAGGATAGCAATTGAACCAGCTGGTTCTACCATGACCAGTCCAATTATTCATCAGTTGAACTAATAGTTCTGACCATGATAAGGATGTAATTAAGTATGTTAAACCATTTAGTTAGTTAGCATCTCATATCTTTTTTTCAATGTTTTCCTTATTTTATTTCCTGCTTTTTTTTCTAGTACATACCACTTTATTTCATGCTATTTAGATATCTAACACCCAAAATATTAATATTACATGACTATCACTCATATAACAAATTTGAGTGCATTGAATGAAATATTAAAGTTTATAGGAATGTATGAATAGTAGAAATGATTATAGGAGTGGTATATTTGATATTAAAATTGCATATGAGTGGTAGATATATAATATTAATGTTTTGGGTGTTCGATATGTAAATAGCATGAAATAAAGTGGTATGTATGTAAATTTCCCTTTTTTCTAATAAGAATAGTTTGGTAATTAGTGGGCTCTTTGGCCTCAGGTTACTCATAAATAGGCCTTTTATCACTTGAAAGAGGAATTTTTTGGTTGAGTTCAGTATTAAGAGCTGAGAAGAAAGGAAGAGGTCTCATTCCTTAGGGTAGATTTCCCCTAAAACTTGAGAGGAGAGGTAGAAAGGGATTGTAGTGGAGTCTAGGATTCTGCCAACATCAACTACCCGAAGCCTCTTCTCTCTTCCCAACAGCCATCTTGAATCTTCGGAGCAATATCTGGCTGCCTCCACTGGACGTCTTGCCAGCCAGTTCTGTTTCAAAGGCTTTTTGCCTTGTATGGTTATACCCACCCAGTAGGATGAGATTTCCGAGCAGCCACCCTCATCTTGTGCATCCACACAAGGTTCAAGAAGACTCCAGACTGCCTACCAATCAGCCCTATCAGGTTCTTTGTACCTCAATTTTGTTTATTGCTATTTTCCCTATTTCCAAGAGCTTTCTATTGGATTTTTCTTGGTAAATTTCTGCAGCAGATTTTTTCGAACAAGAAATCATCCTTGGCTTTCTGTGAAGCCCATTTAAGCAACAGTACAGCTTCTGTAAAATTTTAAATATCCATTAGATGTGAACTAGCTAATTTGCTCATCTTTCGAAAAGAGCCAACAACCACCGGCCAAGAAAATCATTGGGCAAGGTCATCGCCTACAATAAATATTCACTAAAAGGGCCGAAATATGTTTTCTGCTAGTCTTTGATGTTTTACTTCAGCTTTTTCTTCAAACTTTCAGTCCTTATGTAATGTAAGGATTTAATAATTTGGTGGTAAAGCATTCTTGCACGTTTGAGTCAATTATAAAGTTAGGAGCTCTTTAATTTTTCTTTTCTTTGTTAGTGAGTCTTTAATTTTCTTGTTCCTCAGTATCAGATCGGCTCTTACCTGCTTGATGAAGTGGTGGTTCTTAAGATGGACCAAACCAACTACATGACCGGTTACAGTTGAACCAGCCAATCCGCTCTAGCTTTCAAAACAATTGTAAGATCACATCCTAGAGTCTTCTTCATCTAATCATATATCCAAACTACAAGAAGGGAAGTTGGCCACATATAGAAAACCAATATAATTCCCAAATGTAGAGACCAACATAAAAAATAAACAAGCAACTCAAGGCAAACCAGGGGATCAAAGAAAACACTAAAAGGCAATACTGACTTCATGCCCTCATTGGATGAATCAATGCTTGGCATCTTAAGCAATTAGAAGCAAACTTAATCTTTACCTATGAATGTTAAATGGGTTTCTTAGATCGAATTGATGCTCTTTTATAGCTTACGATAGATAGGACTACATAAGAAATTTTGAATGGCTAAAAAACCACGTTAAGTGCATAATTGTAGAACACGGATATTACCCAATGGACAATGTCAGGTAAATATTATTGTCATTTTCTTCCTCACATATTCACAATACCACGTGACGAGAAAGTCAAGAACATTGACGTTCCAAGGCTAGATGCCAACGCTGATCTAGCAATTGTGGCTCTAAATAAAATTCAAGGAAAAAAGTATCAACTTGTTAGCAAAAATAAGCACCATAAGAAAAAAGGTATCAATCAATAGATCAACAGAAAGCAACAGCCAATCCATGTTCACCTTCTACTTATTAACTTCAATTTGTGAAAATCAAATAATATATAACCAAAGAATGCTATCGACTAAGCAAAGTACCTGAAGAAATATTGGAAGTAATGGTTGAAGAGCTTTAGGAAGGCAGAACCCAGGTATTAGAGTACGTCCACCCTGTGCAGAGATCATTTTAAAAGGGTATTTATCAAACATTAGAACAATAGACAGAAAGATCTCTACAAAAAATAAAAGCAGTAGTAATCATTCCAAACTATGAAAAAAACCTTTCGTTTCCTTCTTTCTTTGTCTCTTGCTGTAGAGACTGCATCTCGAACTAGTTTGATATATGAGGATAGAACTTCTTTGGGAACTGAGCTCACAACTCTTCCCAAAGCTTCCCAAGCAGCCTGCCAGCATGGAATTAGATAAATACATGGAAAAAGTGATGCACTAAAAGATTCCCAACAACAAATTTACCACAACAGTAGCTGAATCCGAGTCACTCAATAAAACAATAAGAGTGGAGATCATTTCAGGAGTCTCATCCACCAAATACAGCTTACTGTTACTGAAGAAGTATCCAATTAGGTAGCACGAACCTCTTCTCATTAAAGCCTGCAATGAGTTTACTCAACTGACACCATAAATAAATACCAAAAATCTCACATAAAATTTTAGCGAGGGAAACAAACCTGACTGTCAGTAACTCCTTTAAGCAGCTCGGAAAGAAGCGCTTCAACCCCATCTTCGTCAACAACCAGCATAACAGTCTCTGCAGCTTTCTTGGCTGAATCCCGTACACCCTACCATTTAGGAAGAATTTTACGTTAACTATCGCACTTGGATTCGAAATTTGGTAGCCAGATCGGCAATGGTATTCACTACCAGCAACTAACCACAGCAACCACGCATATAAATCCATGTCCCAAAAATTTTAGTCAATGCACAACAGGCAGCCATAGGGCAGATGGCCGAAAATCCTACAGTATATCTCATAGCATAGCAGGTAAAACTTAATCTAGCGACAACATTAGCTCCATTGTTGTTGTTGTAGTAGTAGTTGATGCAATCTGCTATCCAATTGATGATTAACTCGATAGACATGATTTTATTTTGTATTTTTATTTCAAGTTTATTAGGAATTAACAATTATTATATTTATCTTTTAATTTCATGATGTTTAAAATGTTATTAGCCTTAGAGAGAGCTTGAAATTTTAGTTGTCACGTTATTTCTATAAATAACCCCTTATTTTCATAAAGATCATAAAGTAATTAGCATTACAGATAGCTTGGACTTGTGGCTATCACGCTATTTATTTAAATAATCCCATATTCACTGTAAAAAACATGATATGATAAATGACATTCTGAGATATGATTTTATGGGATTTCAACCCTTACTGATGCTCAAGGATTTGCATCTCTCTCCGTTGTGTTTTAAAAATTTAGTAGTTTGTCTTGAGGGTTAGGCAACTAAATGTCTCGACAAATCAATATCAATAGGTAGAGGATGTAACATCCGAAATTCAGGTAAAAAAAATTTATTATTTAATACTAGTGATTATTATTGTTAATTAAATAAGTTCAGTTTAATTATAATTCTCTCTAATTCTAATTAGATGCATCTATTGGCATTAGAGGAGTTATAAGAGCAATTATTGTGGTGGGCCCTCTCTTCCAATAAGTCACTCAAGCCAAAATTTTCACAAGCAGGCATTGGAAATACAGTAGTTGGAATCGGCACAGTGCAGAGCTTAGTGAAGAATTCGGCACAGTTCACAGGAGGAATTTGGCACAGTGCATTGAAGGGCTCGGCAGTCACACCCATTTTAACCCCTTACAGTCAATCTAGAATGTAACAAAGAAGGAAAATCTAAATAGACCGTATGCTCTCCTACCCCATTCTGAAACACTGATAACAAAATTATATAAGTAAAAAGTAGCCTATTCAGACTATCAAACACTGATAACAGAATTTGATTTCTACAGCAGTGATTGAGAGTGGAATTTCAATGAAGAAACTCCAATTAAAGGGGAATAATAGAGAATTGAAGGAAAATAACGAATTGAGGTAAGAAATTCTAGTTGTTTTATAATCGTTATGGTTGTTTTATAAATTTCTAAGTAATAGTAAAAGTTTTAAAGAAGTTTATATCAATTATAATTTTAGGATTCATCAGATATATGTAGAAAGGGGGTTTTGATGTGGACATCGATCAGAGGTTCAAGCATGTGTATCGCCGGAGACAGCGCAGATCGATGGCTACGATTCAGAGTCTTTACTTTTGATGTATTTTATGTTTTATTTAGTTGGCATTTTCATTTCCTAGTTTACCCCTATCACTACGGGAAAACACGCGATTACCGTCGGAATTTCCGGCGGATATTTTTGCGCCGGTAAGCACGGCGCAGGTAACGGCGCATTATTGCGCCGGAAAACCTACGACAGTTTTTTCGAGGCAAACGACACCGGAAATGTTCCGGCGATATTTGCGCCGGTCTATGAGTCGGAATAAACCAATATCTCACTATTTCCGTCGCACTTTAAGGCGGAAAATCACCGGCGCCATTACCGGCGCATATGTCGTCGGATTCAGCGGTCGAAATTTCAATGTCTGCCAATGTTTAAAATTGCGTATTCGGGTACTAAGGCGTTTTTCATTCGTGAGGCGAGGCGTAAGCCTCAAGGCGTTTTGAGGCGTAAGCCTCAAAATCAAAAGATTGCGTAAACATAAAATGATAAATTTGTTATATACTAATGACTGAATAATATAAAACATAAAAAAATATATATAGCGTGAGGCGTAAGCCTCATGCCAGTGAGGCGAGGCGGAACTCAAGGCGGACCTCAACCAAGTTGAGGCGCAAGCCTCATAAAAAAACTCGAGGCGTAAGCATCGAGGCGTTTTTTATTAAAATTGCGCAAAGGCGGGCCTCAAGGCGAGCCTCATATTGCGTAATTTTAAACCATGACAGCTGCCATCATTTTTTGCACCGGTAATGCGTCAGAAAGGGCGCCGGAAAACTTTCCGACGCAACTTATGCGCCAGAAGACTTTTACCGACGCGCTCCAAACCGGCGCAGAGAATTCCGCCGGAATGTGCGCCGGAAACCTATAATTCCGACGGAAATCTTGTATTAGCGGCGGATATTATCCGCCGGTAATGACGGGTTTTCCCGTAGTGTATGGGGAGTGTTGTCTTATTGTAGCCCAAAAGGCATTTGAGTACTTTTATTTATTTATGTTTGAAGACCTATTTATAGGGGTCTCATGCTTTGTAAAAGACTAATGAATATTTGAATGAAAAATTTATGTTTGTTTCTACTTCTTCTTGCATGAGAGTTTGAGAAGAGAGAGAGCTCAAGGGGAGCAAATCACAAGGCCCACCAGTCGTTGGAAGAGTCCTCGGCTCGTGGCTAAGTTCTTCTATCTTCTCGTTCGTATTTTCCTCCATCTCCTTTCCCCTCCACCGCAAGAAATCCCTTCTAAACCCTTATTGCCGCCGCCCCTTGGGAGCCCGCCGCCGACCACTTCCACGGCCCCGGCCGGCCACCTTGCCGGCGACTTCCCTACCCGTTCCACCCCATCTCTACACAAGTTTCAAATTTCAAATTCTTTCATAATTTGGAATTCCAATTTATGAAAGTTTTCATGATGAATTTCAATTCCAATTTAATTTAAATTGGGGTCATTAAACATATTTCCACCTCATCACCCCCAAATTGGAAACTCCCTTCACACCAATCCCCTCTCTCCCTCTTAGCATACCGCTGGCCTCATCCTTGGTGGAGCCCCATTAATGCCTTCATTAAGGCATTGATGACACTTAAATTTGAAATCAATTTCAAATAACTTTTCCCTCCTAATTCCTTCAAAACCTGAAATTAATTTCAGGTTTTAACATTACTCCCTCTCCTCTCCCTCTCTCAAACCGCCGGCCCCATTAATGGGCTTTCCCCTTGTTGTTTCCAACTCTAGCCCCCAACCAATTTGAATTCAAATTCAAGTCTTAATTGGCTTCCCTCCAAACACAATTAAATCTGAAATTTATTTCAGATTTATTGAGAGACTTATTGGGATTGAATTCGAAAACCCTAGCCCACCCCTTATTGAACCCGCCACCCCCTTCCCCTTTGGAAATCCCGCACCCTCTCCTTGAGATTCTCGCCGCCTCATCTCCTCCTCTCCCACCTTATCAACTACAAGTGTTCTCTCTCACCACACCACGATCTTCCTCTCCTCTCGAGAAAGATTATCCTACGTCAAGCATGCATGGCGGATCCCGAGTTTGAGTGGGGATTAGTATTCAACGCCGACAGAAACCTTAATATCCTGCGATCCCCCTTCTTTGACGTGGGATTCGAAGACGACGCTACCGTTGGAGATTATTTGGATCGAGTGGTTCCTACCCTTGCTAGCGTCATCGACCGCCAACGCCCAAGCTACGATTGGAGCATCGACAGTCGAGCATTCACTCCATCCTCGTCACCGTCAACCTCTCCGTGGATCAAGGCCATTGGTGTTGCTACCATCTTAGTGGCATCGTTGAGTTTGCTAAAGACCTTCTCCCGCTAAGCCCAACTTGAGTGTGAGTGAGCAAGGTAACTCGTTGTGAATTTTCTAGACATTAGCCGTGGGATTCTATTATTTTCCGCATTTGCTTTATTGTGATACTTTTGGAGATCTATCATTAATTGTGTCTAAACAACTAATTTGTAATTGCTTATCATAACATTTTGACAACAGAAAATTCTTGAACCTTAACCTACGATACTCTAATCTTATACTGGTATACTTTGTGATTCTTAATGAATTTCATGTGCAATTCTTGAACGTATCACATCGGTTTTGAGATAGTTTATCAAAAGAAAAATGTTACGTGGTGTAGAACTGGAAGAGCCAGTTTGTCAGAGAAATAAGTTTTGCAATTATAAATTACAAAAGTAAATATTAGAATTTCTTGATGCATACAATTCCAGTTGACTCATTTAAAAGGTTAATTGTGCTAAGATAATTCCAATTATGGAATATGACCATACATCTTTGTATGCATTAACAAGCAACTACATATCCATACAAAGAATTGCAGGTGGAAATAAGATAAAGCATGTTTATTTAAAGCTTTGCTCAGTTATGTTTGACAGTATGTTGTGTAAATTCTAATTTACAAACGCATGAATTGTTAATTATATATATATATATATATATATATATATATCACTTGTTTTAATTAAAATGATAAATGCCCTCGACATTGCCGTCCTCACTCGCAATTTATAATGTCGCTAAACCTAGAAAACTCCAAAATTCTTGTTTTTGGCGTTTGCAGTGCATCGAAAAACCAACCATACACATTTTTCTTAGCGTGGTGGGAGGGAACCTGATGCGAAGCTTGCGGCGAGGCGAGTAGAACCTATACACATTTTTCTTAGCGTGACGGGGACACTTCTAAGTACTCGTGTATGCGTCTAACAGTCTAAGTACCTGCAGTGAAAGAACTGCATTTCAAACAGGTACACCTAAAGGCCCATAAACGTCTTTCTTACCGTGGTGAAATTAAAGATTATAACTACGGTGTCTCCTGACACTTACCACATGTGCCTTTCTTGGTGTGGTGGGAAGGCCCATACACCTGAAATTTCTCCTAAATTGGGGAAACGTCGGGGTGCTGTCGAAATTTAAATTGAATAGAGTACTCAAACTTAAACATAAATGCAGGGGACTGAACTCTTAAATGAATATTATGAAACTTAACATTAAGCTTTAAAATGCGCAATCACAATACAAATGCAAATACTAA